CCCCAAAACCCCAAAACCCCAAAACCCCAAAACCCCAAATCACGTTAATAAACTGACTTTAACTATTTTAGTATTTACTCTTGATCAACATGGAGCTCATAGTTGCCATCTTCTATATACACCCCTCAATTGAAGAGTCTACTTAAGGTGTTTGACTCGTCTGCTTTGAAAGTGCCTTCTTTCCTAAAAAGAGTTAGAATTTGTGGATTTTTATGATTTAACTGAGATTTTTAATTTATTCAAATACAGCAAAGACTTACTTTTTGTTATGTCTCCCCATCTTTTTCTTGTTTTTAGAGTTAAACATTTCAAATCTCTCCCTAAGAAATACATCTTGTGAGTTACTATGTCCTCTTGTATTTACATCCAGATAGTTAGTTTTAGCATTGATTAAAGACAGTTGAACCTTATTTGAAATTCACTAGCTCTTCTTTGCATGCTGTATATTCCTCATAGAAATCTCGTTTTTGTAACTCTTGTAGGAACTCCTCATTATTTCTGACTCAGAAACTCAACTTCTTCGGACAAGGTGAGCAGTGTGCTCTCCAGTGACAACTTTTCCTCGATAATTTCAAGTTTGTCCTTATCTTTCATGTCCTTTTTCATGTTTTCTGTTGAATTTCGCATCTCAATAAAGCATTCTTTTAGGTCGCTCATTTTATTTATTCTCTTCGAGAAGCTTGGTTTTTAATTCTAGATTCTCAAAACGGAGATCGTCTCAGATTTTAATAGAAATTTGCAACTGCTTGGTGACATTCTCTACTTTCGGAAAGCCTTCCAATTCAGAACTGAGGAACTCTACTAGCTTTTCTAATTGCTCTGTTTTAGCATGATCAGCTTTCATCTGGGCTTGGAGTTCATTATTTTTTAGCTTTAAGGTCTGGTTCTCTGATTTCAGTTGATCTACGTTCATCTTGAGGGCAAGAATGTCCTTTGTAACTACCTCTCCTGCTGACATTTGAATAATTATCACTATTTATTAATTTGTGTGGAATTTCAATAAAATAAAGTTTTTGAGGGGTTTTGGGGTTTTGGGGTTTTGGGGTTTTGGGGTTTTGGGG